GTGGGTGAGACAGGTCACCCAGAGACACATGCAGCAGATCGAAGACCTTCAGAACGAAATACACACACACACACAAATGATGGCCCTGCAGCAGGTACACACACAACCCAAACAGACACACACACACAATTACACTGTCTCAAGGGATGCATCACTTCTCTCTCTCCCTGTCTCCTTCTCACAGGATCTGAAGCAGCAAAACCGCTTACAGTCACTAGAGAGACAGCTGGATGAGAAGAGCAGCGAGGTTCAGGAGCTAAAGAGAGAGAACGAAGATCTGAAAGAACGGATAAGCGCAATAAGTGCACAAAGAGAGGAACAAGATGACCACAATCATAAACACAAGAGGTCAGTAACCAAGATGACAACAAGCAAAATTACACACAGAGGGTCAGTAACTAGATGACCTCAAACACGCACACAGACAGGAGGTCAATAACAAGATGACCACAAGCATACTCACACAGCAGTCAGTGATGAGAACTGATTGTTGCCTGTCTGCAAAAAATCTTGTCCACATAACTGCTTATTTATTCCCATTTCCACTGAAAATGGATTTGGAACTATTCTATACATTTTACACTACAGAAAATCATCTCTTTTACAAAGTTCAGCTAAAGATAAAAATGATGTCATTCAAAAACTGATAAGACTTCCGTTCATCTTCCGTTGACCATGTATGTGCGTTGATCAATGTTCATATGTGAATAAAAGCTTTAATTCATCATATAAAGCGATTGAGTCTCTTCAGAAGACTTGGATTAAAACTATCGATTCATTTGGATTTCTTTAACAATGTATTTATGAAACATCAAAATATTAGTGGAATGGCCATTCAATGGAGGGACAGAAATCACTCAGGTTTAATTAAAAGTATCTTAACTTGTGTTTCAAAGATGAACAAAAGTTTGATGGGTTTGGAAAAATATGATGACAGAATTTTCATTGTTGGGTAAACTATCCCTTTGAACCTGCTGGTGTCAAACCTGGAAACACTAACATGAATGTCCTCATCAAGTAATGTTTTCTGAAGAATAACAACTTGGCCTGGCAAGACTAGCAAAAAACTTGAAGTGTGGGATGCAGAGATAAGATCTGCATTCCGTAGATCTTGTTGATGTGTACGTCGCTTTGCACAGTGGCTCCGGGCAGTTTCTGTCCGTTATCCCGTTATTATCTCAAATAACATGATTTTATTTAATGAAATGCCATGTTGAATTGATTTAGAGGAATTTTATTTGAAATCTATTTAATAACTACTGGCTGTTGCATCAAACGCATATTGTCATGGCATAAATAAGCTGAATTAAATTACCTGGATTTAAACCTGATTTCAAAACTCGAAGGACTTGTAAATAAAGTTCGTAGGCAGGGTATGTGCTGTAGTAACACTTACATCATTGTTCGCTCAGCCGGTTATGAGAGTTTGCAGATCTGCCAGCTGAGCACCTGCTCTACCCACAAACACCTGCACGTTTTGGGTGGAAAAGTGATTTTAAATAGAACAAAGATGCATGAACGACCAAATGACCAACTTCATTTTTTCGTGATATTTAGGGGTGCGTAAATCTAATATCTGATATAGCTCTGCGTGCAAAGCAGAAAATGTGTGACGTTGATGTATTTGTATCTGACATGCAGTTTCCCAGAGGAACGAGATGCAGCTGGAGAAGCGGATGGGTCTGATCACAGGAATAACGTGGAGAGTGTAAAGAGAGAGCACAGAATGGAGATCCAGACCATAATATCAGACTTCAGCACCGCCCAAACACGACTACAGGCCCGCATAGTTGCCTTGGAAACAGAGTACTTACTCCTCCCACATCAATAATGCAAAACGCAAACCACACTTACATACAGAATTAACCCAAGCAAGACAATATATGACGATGGCTCACGACTAGGATTTTCTACAGATTTCTACAGAATTGGAGTGTTTGTCAAAGTTTCACACATCCTCTGCACCTTTAATGCTAATATATTAAATATAATGGCTAATTTGATAATAATTTTAGCTATACAATTGTAGTACCTGTCCATTTAACACATTTTACTATATTTTACCACGCCTAACACTGTATCACATTACAGACTCATTGCTGATGTGAAAAAGTGCTGCAAATACAGTACTAATATAAATACAAGGTTCTGTTCAAATGATTAATATTATCTATATTAGAATGTCTAAAACACAGTTGTATTCAAGGCCATATATTTAATATATTAATGTTGTTGTTGCGTTTATTTAATCTTTGTATGTCTGTTTTGTGTGCTTGTATTTTATGTTTGTAGGTTGAGAGAAAGGGAAGAAAGAGGAAAGAGAAGAGTAGAAGACCTGCACACCATTGCTAAACTACAGGACAAGCTAAGCGAGAGAGACCAACTCATCAAAAGTCTAGTGGTTAGACACGCATGTACACATGGGAGACACAGGATACTCATACTCTTGTGTCTCTTCATCTCTCTTGAATTCATTTCTCTTTCTATTTCAGGAGGACCTCCACCAGCTATCCCAGCATCCAACTCTCAGCAGCGATGAAATATTGAAGCCTTATGACTCCAGGACACAAGCACGAACCCTCACACCTACTATGAAGGTAGCACACATACACACTGCTCCAAACCCCACACAACACTGAATTTCAAAAAAACAATTCATCAAGTATCATATAATAACTGAGAGAGGATGTTTATTGAAGCTTCAGATTTAATCTGTCTTCTGTATATAGAAAAAGGTGGTTGAGGAAACTAGCATCCCGAACCTCTGCTCATACAATGGGGGGTCACCCAAGGCCAAATGCTCACCAGTTGAGCGTGGATTACCCAGTGTGGAACAGAGCGGGCGAGGGACCCCCCTAACAAGGACACACACCCCCACCTCCCCTCATGCTGAACACAGAGCCTCTATCAGACACAGCCGCCCACCTTCACAAGAAGTGCGACATCAGCCCCAGCTTAAAATGAACTACAACCAGCACATCAGGTAATCTCCCGCATACCAGCAGTCCTAGATCTAACCAGCCAATCCTGAACGTAATCTCCTTTGCTTTTTAAAAACCCTTTTGAGGTAGATTAATACATATCTCAACATTTTGTTCTTAATGAGAATTATTAATGGCTATTTAATTTCATGAAAATACCAAATGCATAAATGTGATGAATAATATGCAATTATGTTCTCATTTATCCAGTGACCTACATTGCATTCAAAATATACATTTCATCAGTTCAGTTCATACATTCACCAGGTTTCGAACTCATGACCTCAGCGTTGTTAGCACCATGCCTTGCTGTTTGAGCTACAGGAACGGCATAGTTAAACAGTTGCTTTTATTCAGTTAAAAATCCTCAGTATGTAGTGCCTTTTCTATTGCAAGGAAAATCACCTCATATTGCATGTACAACATGCATTGAAATTGCATACAAAATCATATTTTTAATTCAAAACCGGTTTTTATTGTTAACTAAAACTATTTAAAAAAAATCATTTTTGTCAACCAAAATAAAGCTAAAAACATAATATTACTAAAACTTAGGTAACACTTTATTTAATGGTGACGTAGTTACGTTACTATATGTACATAGTAGTAACAGTAGATAATGCATAATTACAAGACACTAAACCAAAACCTAACTCTATAGTAAGTACATGTAGTTAATTAATATTACTCAGTACTTACAATGTGACATCACCTTAAAATAGTGTAACCAAAACTTAATATAATATTAATATACTATAAATATGCCAAAATGATCAAATACTTTGTTTTAGAGTCTCTATTTAATTTGTATGCCTTTTGTATAATGCAAGTAGCAGCATTGAACTTTTCCACAGTAAAAAAAGTGAACTTACCAACCATTATAAAACAAAAGTATGGAATAGGTAACTACAGTACATTGGCAAAAATATGCAGTACACAACAGCAGTAACTTACAATAAAAAATACTTGTAAAGCAATCATTAATCTTAGATCATGTTAATTTTAACATTTACAAATACATAATTAAAATCCAAAGTTGTTATTTAATGGACCCAAGCTGACATGAACTAACAATGATCTGTTGTGTTTTTATTAACTAACGTTAACGAAGAATAATAAACACTGTAACAAATTTGTTGCATTGTTAGTTAATAGTAATACATTAACTTGCGTTAACTAATGGTAACTTATTGTAAACCAAATACACAAATGTTAAAAATTAGGTGCATACATTATAACCTAGTCTTGATGTAAAAAACAAACAACCTTTTCCTGGTTCAGTATTAAAACCTTTTTTCTACCAAGATGTCATATCTATATTTCTAGTTCTAATCTTGTGCTTGTGTTTCAGGACTCCTGCTGAGCAGAGGGTTATTGAAACAGGGCCTGATGGACAAGACCCTCAAAAACAGGAGTGGTTCACCAAATATTTCTCTTTTTGAGGTCCCACTGAACATTTGGCTGTATCTGTCCCAACATATTGAGAACAGGATCACCAAAGTCTCCTTTTCTGCATAATTACACTCAACTGCAAGCTAAACACCAAATAAGCTTTTCTACAGGACACATCTCACTATTATCCTGTTTAACCTGTTTAACAAAATGCAGCACACAGACCCAATGTCTTAAATTGTTGCAAAAATAAAGAGATTATGCATTCGGTCATAAACATTGAAGGACTACAGGACACTACGGTCAGAGTGGACATATCAAAGATCTGAAAGAAGAGAATGTTCCTGTGTAGAGGCTTCCTCCATTGATGCTTCACGTGTGGTCTCTCCCAGCAAAAGGATGATATCAAGGTCTAAAGGGAAAAAGATGAACAGTTCTGCACCAAATCCTACATGGACCTCTATTAATTAATAAAATGAACTGCCAAGTTTGGATTGCTGGAAATATGGTGTGGAATGTTGCGACTTTTCTTAAACAAAAAGAGAATGCAAGAACAGCTGGGTTCGCCATACTATGCCAAAACTCTAACCATCTCAAGATAATTAACGAGTATCAATAAATTACATATTTTTGTTTTTTAAATTGCATGATAGGCCATTTTCTTTATTTGTTTTTAATATCCTTTTTTATAGAACATTTTACGTGCCCTGGACTGGTAAATCTAAATATACAGGTCTATATATTGTGTTAATTAAAACAAAAGTTTCACTGAAAGAATGTGCAGTTCATTAGAGCTTCTGTAGCTGATGGATAATTCAGGATCTCCGACTGGAACGATTTGAGGCCACTTTTTAGTGTCCTTTGCTGGTTGGACTTGGCTTTGTTCTTGTAGTTCATACTCAAAAGCTTATCAGCCAGATAGTGCAGCCACAACACATTGGAATGGGGATTATAAATGGACCAGCAGTTACTGAGAAACAGAGAATGAAAAAAGAACAATGAGAATCATCAATCCTTCATTTAGAATGAAAGAATTTTAAATATCTTTCTGTCTGAGGCTGAAGCACACACTTGTTTTCTTTCTTCATTAGGCGGTAGACGTCAAACTGGTAATCTCCCTGTCCCATAAACAACTCTTCATCAGAAGAGATATCACATGACACCGTCAGTCCATCTGAGAGAGAGAAAAGTGTTCAAGCACTTATTTTCCAATTCACGTGTGTCAGTTTTACTACATTTTCAACTCTTGTACCAAGAGTAAACTTTGCTAATTTTGACTAAATTAAACTTTCTCCTAAAGGATACAAGCATACATTTTCAACCAGCTTTGTATTGTTACAATGACCGTAGTACGTTCACGGATAATCCTACAAATGTGTACTCTCTCTCTCCGTGTTACAGAGTCACAAAGACATTGTTTATTTGTCGGCAAGTCCGACATGCAGGTAACATGAAGAAAAAGTACATATTGCTTGTTTAAATATACAACCAGTACCAACATTGCAACAGTACAAAGCTGGTTATAAAATTGTCGAATTTGTCCTTCACTAATGGCTAGCTAGTTTGGGACCAAATATTGATTTGTAGTTAATTTATGGGAAATGTAAGTTTATTTTGATCATTTTTCTTGGAATGGTTGGGATGGTTTAGCTTTACAAATGCAAATCAACAACATTTATAAAAATAAAATAAAAAGTTAAAGACTCATTTAAGATTCAAACTGTTCATTGAATCTCAAAATAATGTATGATTTTAATTGTTAGATGAGTTGCAGTTGAGAAGGTCACCATTTTAAGAGTAAGGCTGGGGGAATACATGCTAAATTAATTGAATGTTGGATAATAGTTAATAAACATGGGATTTGCAACACCAGCATCTTAAAAACTACATTTATGAGACTGAAAAATATTTGTGCCAAAAGGAGTTAGAGAAAGAGTTCTGCATTGGACTGACCGATCTCCAGACGTGAGAGCGAGTAGTCAATAATATTGACATGAACCCCTCGAGTCTCTATGGAATGCACCGTTCCATTAAGAATGAACTCATTGTGCTTGTGCTTGACATTCTTCACCAGGATGTTCCCCCAATGAAGATCTCTGAAACATCAGCACACACCACTTGCATCAGCTTACACTGACAGCATATACAGAAATTTGTATGCATCTACATTTAAATTTCAGCTTCAAACTTGTTACCTGTGTTCAAAGCACAGGGCTTGCTCAGCAACAGCCAAAGCTGCGGTGACTTGATGAAGAACACTCTTGGCCTGGGCCATGGAGGTTAGCTGCAATGGTACACACAAACAAACTTTTAAGTTGTCATAATGATACAATATAGCTCAAAGTATATTATGGACAATCACTTCTAATAAACAGGTTGAGATATTAAAGTAATTCTTAAAGGGATAGTTCACCCAAAAAGGAAAATTGTTATCGTTTACCTTGTACCGTTCCAAACCGTACGATTTTTGTTGTTCTTCAAAACACAAATTTATGCCAGTCCACCAAAACTTTTTTGAACAAAGTTCATAAAGATATTGTAAACTAAATCCAAATTAAATGAACATTTTAATGCAAGTCCTCCGAAGAGACATGAAGACTTTAGGGTTAAGAAATAAGGTTAAGCTTCAGTTTACCATATTTGATGTGCTCTGCATATGTTTGTTGATCAAAAGTTATTGTGTCTCTTCAAAAGATTTGGTTTAAATTACTCGATTCATATGAATTTCTTTTATTATCCTTTTTGAACTTTTGGTGCAATGAACTTTCACTGGTGGTTTCATTAAAAATATCTTAATTTGTGTTTCAAAAATGAAACCAAGTTATATGAGTGACAGAATGTAGATTTTTTGGTGAAATAACTCAAAATCAATTCAAGTTAAGGCATACAATGACAAAAGCATCAGCGAGGTCAGTCACTAAAGTGAAGGGGCCTGAATTCACACCAAAGATGTTCAGTGGACTTCAGGCTTTATAGAATACCTGGAATAGACAAACCTGTATAAATATGGAAACCTGTACGCAAGTACCTTTCCATTCATGTTCTCTAGATCACTCCCTCCAAACTCAAACTCCAGGATTAAAAACAGCTGCTCATCATCAAAGAAATCTGTGCCAACAGAAGCAATTCATTAATGGTCACTAAATATAAAACTATTTAAAGACATAAATTGTTCACACATTTAGCTTACCAGGTCTGTCATTCTCTGATCCCTTCTGACGGTCAAACTTGTCCCAGGCTTTGAGCAGAGCTTCAGGGTAACGTCCACGGACACAATGTAAACTAAAAAGTAAACGAATCGTTCACCCAAGGTAAAATTATAGAAAAACGATTTCTTTCTAAACAAAATGTCCTTCTTTATATGTGTATTCTTAGAAATGTAACATGCAAACTTCCAATCACCTCATTTTACACTTATATAAGCTATATAAAAAATAAAAATAAAGAGTAGAAGCATACTTGTTGAGCCCAATGAAACCATCTGTCTTGTTAATCTCCTTTAGGTTAAGGCTGCTCAGCTCTCTGTAGGAACATTGAAGATATGTTGAATATTTACACGCCATTCATTCAAATGTATAACATATTTGTTGAGATATGCCAGAGATCCTACTTGGAAATGATGATTTCATGGAGGATTTCACAAAATGTTTTCTGGTGTTCACCGTTGACCTGCTGACTGCCTTCTACTGGGATGATCTATGGAAATTACATTTAAACATCATTTTTGTATGTTTACGAAATAATTCTGCTTACAATTCAGTGACTAAACATCTATTTACATATATAGATACACAGAAGTTCAAAATGTATTTTAAATATATTGTGTGTTTGCATTAAGTCACCCTGTGATGTGTAAGACAATGAAATTGTATATGGATAAATTGAGCACATACTTTGAGAGCAACGGTCTCATTGGAATCGTTTATAGTTGAGAAGACCTCTCCAAATGTCCCTTCGCCAATCTTGTTACAGTGCTTCATGCGAGCTGGAGGGATACAGTCACTAAAGGAAAGTGGGCCGCTCTGCTGACATTCCTGATACACTTTTTCTGCATCGCTGATATCCTCATCATATGATGTCTGGAACACAAAGGCAGAGTAAAAAATGGGAGAAAAGAGACATCACAGAGATCAGCTGTAATAGAGAAATAACTGGAATAAAGAGACTTATTAAAAATCTGAGAAAGTAACTGAAAAAAAAAAAGCATTAAAAATTATATTATATTGCAGACCGTACATTATTCTATTATACTTGTAACACTTAAAGCAATAGTTCACTTCAAAATGAAAATTCTGTCATCAAGTTGTTTAAAACTTATGAATTTCTTTCTTTCTGCTGAACACAAAAGAAGATATTTTGAAGAATGTCGGTAACCAAACAGTTGATGGACCCCATTGACTTCCATAGGAAAAAAAAAATACTATGGAGGTCAATGGGGCCCATCAACTGTTTGGTTACCGACATTCTTCAAAATATCTTCTTTTGTGTTCAGCAGAAAGAAAGAAATTCATAAGTTTTAAACAACTTGATGACAGAATTTTCATTTTCTCTCTTTTTCTCTCACGAATCTGACTTTTTCTTAGAATTGCAAGATTATATCTCATAATTATGAGGAAAAAAAGAGGAGTGAATATATATCTCTGTGTCTTTACCATGGGGGTGTTCATGGTGGACCGGAGCATGCGTAAAGGTGTGACTCTGGATGGTGTGAAGAGAGGGGAAGCAAACAGGTCTAAACTAGTGGTGTCAGCTGGAAAACCAGAGCCTGGGGACTTCAGATGAGACTGTACCAAGCGCCGAGGGGTCGGAAATGCTGCAGTACACACATTTATACACAACATTTTAGGAAAGGTGACAAGAACTTTAGGCCATTTTACATGCTTTCTGAGGTAACAGAACAAAGGTGGCACTAAAAATCAACCATCATGTACCATTCTCAATTATGCAAACCCTGGGCAGTTTGGTATATGAATCAAAGACCTTTTGTTTGTGTCTACTGGCTTATTATCTGGTCTGCTACAGTAAACACATACCAGTTTTCTTCTTATGTAGGGACAGTGCTGCCTTTAGTCGGCCCCAGGAGTGTGTCGTGAGTGTGTCAGGAGTGAAGTTGGCCAGGATGGAGGAGAGATTCATTTGCGCCATTCTGATAGGCGTCACAGCCAGACCAATCCCACTGGTGCCCTGCAGCCAGCCACATGTTGTTTCCTGCATGAACGCACAAAAAAAAGACAAGCAGCTGAAACATTTGGTTACAATTAATGGTTTTTGCAAAACAATGGCATTTTCCTTCCCCCTGAAAAATAACACCCTGGAGAATTGGAAGTCAAAATACTTTGATTTCATTTACTAAATACAAACTGAAGATATCCAAATGAGGCCGTAAACACACACACACCCCCCGTGGTGTAGGGGTGACTTTGCATTCTACATACTAATAAAAACACTGAATCTCAAAGAGGTAGCGCATATTTCTGGGTAGTCAGATGTTGGTCTGGGATAAATAAATAAATTTAGCTTATTGTAATAATAATAATAATAATGCCCATATAAATATTCATAAAATAAGATAAGAGACATATAAGATTAATTAAGTTGACAAAAATTGCATAAAGCTACGATAACAAAATTAATATGGGTCTGTAGGCTTAACATATTAATTTAGTGTGATTACCATAATATTATGAAATAATCATTATTTTTTTAAAAAAGGAATACTAAAAATACATTCCTCTTGACCATGCATACATTTTGTAATAAAGATTTGAAATAAGCAATTCCAAATTGAATTACAGATGGGATACAAGAACATATGAGTAAATGGTTTAAGTACGAAAAAATAACTCAATCGTAAAGTGGATTGCTGTGAACTATATTCCAGTGAAAGACAATGATACGTAAATAAACAGTTTTAATTCTCAAAAAATGTGAGAAAATGAATATTGTAAAAGTAAATATTATAGCAAAATAATAAGCACATGAATGTATTCTTGACAATAACTGACCGCTGCATAAGTGTCTGCTCCAGCAGATAACATGCTGCACCCAGAACTGTAGTCTCCAGACACAGCCTTTGTTCGTCCTTCCTTTTTCCTCCGTTTTTCATTGAACTCTCCAGTACCCCTCTTTGACCAGCGGCTGACATTCAGTCCACTCACACAAACTTTACGACCGGTCCCAGTACCAGCACCTGTGCGTTCTTTAAGCACAGCAGGCGGTCGTGTTTTGCTATGAGGTGCAGAGGCAGGTGGAGAGACTGGAGGTGGTTGGAATGATGCAGACAAGTGTCGAACAACCGCTTCAGCATTACTGGGAGTCCTGTGATTTATTGGACTGTTTGGGATATAATTCCCTGTCCCCTTAAAAGGTGGAGAGGTGGCAATTTCCCTGCGACTGATGGGGAGCCTGTGTGGCGAGTCAGTGCAGGGAGCTTTTGTTGCCCCCTGGTGGACAAAATGATACGCACCCAAGTCAAGACGGGGAATGCAGACAGTGAGGGAAGATAACAGACATTCAGCTTTAAGACGGTCAAGAAGGGACATATTTGAGCCAATCGCTTCAGTTGAAGAAGAAGTGTTAAGAGACTTCGAAGAGGAGATATAGAGGGACAGTTTGGATAGTGAAGAGCAGCTGGATGAAGCAGTTACAAAGTTTTGGCTGTTCTGTCTAGTTGCCATGGAGGACTCCAAACAGTTTGAGGCAATCTTCTTTTCCCGTTTCCTGCTGCAGCTTTGCAACGACAGATGGTCTGAGACATCGATTCTTTTGAGCGCCAAGTCTACATCCACTGTGCGACATCTATATCAACATAAACAGACAGAAATGAATTGGCACTTTTTATTCAAATAAAAACGTGACAATTTGTACATACACTAGCAGTCGAAGTTTTGAACACACCAACTCATGATTCTTTATGATTAGGTTATTATTATTACAACTACTAGGGACAGCTTAATGTTACGTAACAAATTGCTGAGAAACACACTCAAAAATGGTTTCAAAACTTTTGGCTAGTGATGAAAACATTTGATGTAAAAAAAACATTCATAAATCACCAATAGGTTTTTTTTTCTCCTCTCTCTGTAAATTAGCAGCCATTACTCACCTCTCCTTTAGGTCCTCTGCTAAGGATTCTAGGTGTGACGGTGTTAACACGCATCCAAAACCTCTGCTTGCCTGTGCAGACGTGGCGTCTGCTTCAGATCCTTCATTTCTCTGATCCCTCTCTCCATACCCAGCTCTCTCTTCCACAACTGCATCCTCTTCTTCACCCTCCGCTCTCTCTCCAGAAGAGATGTCTGGGTTTGGGAGCTGCTGACTTGTCTTCTCTCGTGCGGTGTGGTCACACGCTTTAACGTTCTTCAAACTATGAGCACTGTTGTTGTTTTCAGTAGGTTGGTGAAGTTCATCAAAGCTGAGGGAGGAGATCTCACTGATGGAGGGCTCTGGTAAGTTCTGGAGCTTTCTGCAGACCAGTGATGGGGTGCTGGACAGCAGGGGACGTTTACTCGGAAGCTGCTGGTCATCACTATCATTGAAAGAGACCTCAGCCAGAGTCGCACGGTTCTGTGTGCGTTTGCGGTTCTTGTTAGCAGCATGATTATTTGAGTCATGGTGTTCCATGTAGAACGGCTTCTTGCGCTTCTTTTGGGAAAACACAGGGAGGAAATCATCTGAGGAATTTAGCGTGCGGTGAACAGCAACAGACTAGGTGAAAAGAGAAGAAGGGGAGAAGCAAGAACACCGATTTTGACAATGACAATCCATCAACATTTTCTCATGTTACACACACAAAAAAACAATAATAACAATAAATACTGTTACTTACAATTTGCTTAGTTCGCATGGGTGGTGCTGGTCTTTTGCGATGAGTGACAAACCTGCCCAGATGGGGAGGGTCTAACACTTTCTTGGAACTACAGAGATACAAAGCATTTCACTGATCCGGACTCAAGCAACAGTTACGACATTCTGATTTTGTTTTTACAAAACGTATAATAAAACTTACCCAGGACGTTTATCAGCAGACGTTTTTGCATGGCCTTTCTTCGTCGTAAAGGACTCATCGTCATTTTCACTGCTGTTGCTGAGTATTAATTGTTTATATATTTTAGCCTTCTTTTTTGTTTGAGTCTTTCTCACAGCTGTAGTCCTTACTGGTTTTGCATTTGTCTTCTTTCTGCAGAGAAACAGGCATACAGAACAGTGAAGGAAAAGATAACTGTTCAGTTCATTTTTAATGGGTTTTAGAATCTTCTAAATAAGTCAAATAAGATTAGGGGTTAAATTCAAGTAACATTAAAACTGTGCTTCAAAAAAGATACAAATAAATAATGGAATTTTGCAGTTCTGTAATGTTAGCCTAATTCATTAAACATCATTGGAAGTTGACAACTTTGCAGTCAAATAACATTCTCTGTGAGGACATTTCATTTTTTCCACGCAAAGTGAGTAAAATATGTGTTCTGGTGTGGCATTATGTCCCAGTCGTGAGTCCTGACCTGAATGGTGAGGTTGGTGCATAGTTTTCCTCATCACTCATGTTCTCCTTTATGGCAGTCATGCCTTTGCTCTTAGCAGGGCGAGAGGCTGTTTCTCTTCTTCTCCTTAGAACAGAGAAAGGAATGATAAACTGGTGTGGATAATAACAGCTTCACTATAAAAAAAAGTCAAACCACAGTTTTGAAATTGAATAAGTGGGTGAGCATGTTTTACCGTTTCTTGGGCTGTGTCTCCTCTGGTATGGACTGATCTGATGAAGGAGTGCTTGAAAAAGAGAAAGCTGCTTTCTTCAGGTCAGGGGAGAACCAAGGCTCCACCTTTCGCATCCGTTTACTGTATGTCTTGATAAACACCGGCCCATTTTTTCCTCTTGCGTTCATCTTGGATCTTTACTAGAGTGTAGAATTAAAATATTATTATTATATAAGAATGGAGAACCAACATAACTCTTTTTTGAACCTGTAACTCAAACAGTAGAGCAAATGATAGCAACGGCAAGGTCATGGTTTTAAACGAAACCCCTTTGCCATGCTAATGAGCATATTCTTGTGAAGACAACAAAGTGTTTCATTTGTAAAACTTCATTAAGAATGTTTAAGTTTCCCAGTCCATAACCTCTGAAAAATCTGTATTTGCATCTTGTATTTTATTGTATTTTTGATGTTACTGGACAATAATATTTACAGATGGAGATGCATCTCTTAATGTCAATAAAAATTTAATTAACATCTCTTAATGTCAATAAACATGTAAGTAGCATTATTTGACTGCCTACAAGAGATGTTTTAGACTTATGTGTTTAGTACATTTCCTAGATAATTGTATATGAATCTGCGTATTATTCCAAAAATCTCCTGACATAGTTTGAATAACGTTACTGATATAAAAAAAACATTAACAACCAAAACAAGTAGACAATAAACATGAAAACTGTCACTGTTCTCGATTCTCGAAAACACTAAAAGTAGCGTTAACACGAAATCGACTGAATACACGGACAAACCAGTAGCAGCTAACGATATAACTTACAGGAAACCAATGCGCATATTTTAAAAATAAAAAAGCGTTATGTTGACAACTGAATTTACCTCGATGTGTTATCGACATGCAGATCCCTTCTCGAGACTACTTAATAACTCAATAATTAAAAAATAGTCTTCTATTACAGAAACAATGAACAGTACCAATAATCACCATGATAATAAACCGCTCGCATTCAAACTGAAAAGAGTCGCTGATTGGGTTTTCATCTTCTTCGTGTTTAATGGCCGCTCACTCCTTTGGAACATGACCGCCACCTACTGGCCATGTACTGTACATTGGCACCTGTTGCGCCAGATCGGTTTCTTTGCTTGTAGTGTTTTGTAAAACGGAAGGACACAAGAAAAACCCTACTCATTTCTGAGGATGATGCAGATCCCTTCTCGAGACTACTTAATAACTCAATAATTACAAAATAAAAAGTCTTCTATTACAGAAACAATGAACAGCTACATCATGTGATCGATTTATTCTGTGATGAATTTAGAATATTTTATGTGTTATTTTTTTATTCTGGAAATGCACTGAGCCCAAGACAAATTTCCCTAAGGGGACAATAAAAAAGTATAAACTAAACTGATGTACAACTAGTTGCTGAGACGAGTGACGACAGACACTACTCTCATTCCTACTTCATATCCTATCACAAGTTATGAAATTATATCAACTTATATATATTTTTCAAAACAATCATGTTGCAATTTCAAACCATCTATTTTGATAGTCATTTCAACAGAGTTGTGTCTCAGGGGATGCTCCCTTGTGAGGTTTATTTGTTTGTTTGTTTGTTTGTTTGTTTATTTTTTACAATATGGTCTTTTACAAAATGGTCCATGATGCAAAGTTGGTTGATATTGGTAACATATTATAAATTCTAAACAAGTTAGTCAAAATTTACCACAATAAATACAATGGAGCATGATAAATTCTAGTTAATTTGGTCATGCGTAGCTAGTTTAAAAAGCTTTCTAATTACATGTACTTTTGCAGAACTGAGAGAAGACTGCCGAGGGGAGGGAGAGAAAGTCTTTTCCCAGAAGACTTAGAGTAGAAACTGCTCTATATGGCAGATATGCATCTTCCAGTAATCTAATGCAATTTGGCTGAGGATGCTAAATTTAATAATTTATTTAATTTATGTACTGTAATTGACAGTATACTGTGTTGTATTGCAATTCCAAGTTCATGTTCAATTCTTTGGAATTTCAACTTTTCTTTTCTACTGCTTTTCATCTACTGCAAGATCTCTTTACAGAAATGAAAATAAACTTTTCTTAAAGCTAATTGTTGAATTTCACTGTATCTGCACCCCTCTATTTATGTTGTATACTGTAATAGACATTGAGACCTGATTGCCAAAATGTTTTTGTAACAGTGTTTTTAATGATCTCATGGCGTGTAAGACTATGTTGTAGTGTGTGTGTTTTTGAGGGCAAAGTTGTTGTTGTTGTTGTTGTTTTTTTTCAGCAAGATTAAATGGTTTTGAGTGGAGAGCTTCATTTTGATATTTGTGTTTAGAGTTTCTAGAAAAGGAGGCATAATTTCAAGAAATGTGGTTAAAGGTTCTCTAAGCGATCCTGGGTGACGTCACTTCTTGTTGACGTTCGAACTATTGTCAAACAAAACGGAGGCTAGCTAGACCCTCCCTCCTCCTCATCCGCACACTAACCCCCCAAACCACACCCCCAAACCCTTCTTGTCGGTCATTGGCTGGAACAGTTTGTTATGTTTTGGGGAGCGGGTCGCTGCAGTTTGTTTTTGGTGCTGTTTGTGAAGCATGGGCTGTCTACAGAGATCGCGTTTCTTTACAGTGTGTTCAGGGGACAGGCAGCCAGCGGATAGTGAGGAGATGTTTGCTGTATGTGACAAAAAATGTTTTGGCCTAAAAAACACATGACATCGCTTAGAGCACCTTTAATTGAGAAAACCTGTAATTTTTTTTTACAGAAAGAGTGGTTTATTTGACAAATTGGTTTAGGCTATTGAGAATTTGCTTCAGAGAATGGGGTTTAGTGTTTTAGTAATTCAGATAAACTGTACAGAAAGTCTGTATTCAGCACTTGCATAAATACAGTAGTCCAACTGCAAAAGCCAAAAAAGGTTTTAAAAAAAAACTCTAAATGAAAAGCATTTTACACTTTAAAGAGTTTTGCAACTGCAAAATCAAGGTCAATGATAGATTCATTGTACCTCAGCATCATGTCTTTGTGTTGGGTCTGGCATGGGGACATCACAGACAAAAACCCTCTGGTGTGCCGGATCCAACATTCTCCACACTCTTTCTCGTCCTCATCCTCCTCGTCCACCACCTCTTACATAATCTTCCTCCTCTGCCTCTATAAATGCATCACAGTGCAAAATGTGTTTTTGTCAGTGAGAATGTGTTTAGAGTTTTGCAAAAAGAGTGCATGAATTTTCAAATGGTGTCTTCACTAGGCCTACATGAACTTGTTTAATGTTTTACAGAAAGAGTGATTTATTTGACAAATTGGTTTAGGTCATAAGCCCAGGGGTCCCAGCACTCTCGAGCCCTCCTCTGACCTGGGACCTGCTGTGAGCCAGCTTCTCCTGGGCGTGAAGATCCCGTGGCTCCGCCCCCGGCCTCAGATCCCATTGTGTCACCTTGGCCCATCGCCCTGACTCCTCCATCTGCACTCCTTCCTCCCTCAACTCCAACAGTGACCATCAAGCTTTCGGCTCCGCCGAACTCCCTTGGACCATCGGCTCACGGTCACCCTGGCTCATCCCAAGCCCAGCGATCCCAGTGCCCTCAAGCCCGACAGTCCCAGCAACCACAAACCCGACGGTCCCAGCAACCACAAACCCGGTGGTCCCAGCTTCCACAAACACGGTGGTCCCAGTGCCCTCAAGCCCAGGGGTCCCAGCACTCTCGAGCCTCCTCTCAGTGGCGTGGCTACACCTGGGCCCTGCTGTGAGCCAGCTTCTCCTAGGCGAGGAGATCCGATGGCTCCGCCCCCGGCCTCAGATCCCATTGTGTCACCTTGGCCCATCGCCATTTAAAATGATAGCAAGCATGAAAGGGAAAAAACAACAAATTCATAAGCTATATCATAGGTCTACATAGTAGACATTGTTGGTGAACTTTCAGAGACTTGAGTCAGGGGGAAATAGATGGAGTAGGTAGAGGGGGATGAATACATAAGCAAGGAGGGAAGTTTGGGCAAGGCTGTGTCTTATGCTCTATCTTTGAGATCTTCTCTCCAGTTTTATTGTTTTATTGGAGGATGTTAGATTTAATGTTCTGTCTTAGCAGGAAACACAGTCTTACAAAACTCCAAAGTCTGGTCTGTTCACATCCTTTGCATAATTTGTTTAAAGTCCCACTCCGATCATATTTTGAGCTATTTTTAAACATTCCCAGTGGTCTTTAAATTATGATTATGCCATTTTTAGCCAAAATCACAAAACCTGTGCCGTTTTCTGGGACTTCGCTTCAGCAGAGCGGCAGTAGCTCATTAGCAATTCGCCTCTGCGTTGTGGGCGAAGCCGTTGGCACGGAGACAACCCTCCCCCTACCCGTTGCTGAGAGCTCTGTCTCTCCCGCTCAATATTAGCTTACACCCCCAATACCGGTGGGGCAACAGTATTATATACACGTTAATTATTATTATCCAAAGTTAATAAAAGTTATCACCGATCACCGATCAATTTATTGCACTCCAAGACGTCGCGTGTGGAGACGCCCAGTGGAGTTATTACGTCACGATCCAGTCTATTTTAGCCGGCATTTTAGCGTCTGCTACTGATTTACAGCCATTTGAATGTAGAAATACTCAGAAATACAACTTTGAGCTTATTTTTCTCAAGATATGTCCTCAAACATCAGAAAAATGCCACAAGAACATATTAACACCTAGAAAAACATTATTTTCATCGGAGTGGGTCTGAGTGCTTTATCTTCACCTGGACTACCCCCTAAAATGTGAATAAAACTACAGTTAGACTTGATGATTAAAGACCAACAGCACATTCTTAATAAAGAATCCTGCATGCTAAAGATACAACCGAGTCTCCTGGTCTTCACTTCTGAGTTTCCTACAATATATTACCTGCTTTATGGGGTCTTCTGAGAGCTTTGAAGGAGCTTTGAGTCCTAAGTGAGTCCTCGCTTGCAGATATGGTCAGATCGTTGTCTTCAGTGATTCATCATTTCATAATGATTCCTAATATTGGCTACAACAGATTCATTATTTCTGCTGATGTTGAAGCTATTTGCACTGTAGGAACGTAACCCTAGTAAACAAAACATTAATGCCTACTTAACATGACCACTAAAAAAAACAACAACAAAAAAAAACAATTTGATTAGACCAGACAAGTACTAAATCCTTCACAGGAATATTAAATAAAATCATGTTTACACCTACTTTGGTATATTGTATTTGTATGTCATACCCGTACATGCAGAACACAAGCATGCACATGTAGCAGTCTGTAATTTGCACCAGTTACGCTTGAAAACATTATTCCTGTGATGGCTGATGGCTATTGTAACAAATTAGCTCAAAGGGGAAACATTAATAATAAATTAAAACTAGTTATGATTAATTATGAATATTTGGATCAGTTCATCGGATTAACTTGATGTAGCTAAATTAATATTACAATCAATTAATCAGTTCGCCCAGCTAACACTTTTGATTAATCATTGACTCTAATAAGAAAAGGGTATTTTTCACAGAAAAATAATTCTTTCTTAGCATGTACAGCGCTTAGAGCGTGTCACAAGATCAGAAATCGTTAAATTGACTTTGTTGCAAGCAGAGAATCAGAACTAAATATGTATTGTGCACAAGTTTTATTAACTAAATCACAAACACAACTAAACATACATACACACAATCATACATACATGGGTAAAATGGTCAGTGACCGAATGAAACCAGAAATGGAACAGGGAATGAAACTATGGAAAAGATTAATTTAGCTATGAAAAGAAACATCCGCTTCCTTCTTTCAAAGCACATCATTAAGCGGTGTTTACCGCCTATTATTAAACCTCTGTTTAAAATGTGCGATACTTGAATCTCTTTGCAGTGGAAGCAGTGTGCGGCATCTATGAAGAATGAAGCTATGAAGCTACTTCCGTGAGTCGATGGTTGGAGTTGCGATTGACTTCTTCTGCAGAAATTGTGACAAACTCCAGATGTTGTCCTTGACTCTGTTGTGGTTGAGAGAGTCCTCTCTCTCCTTAATGAGCATATGGCTGGTTTTAAGTCAAGGCCTGCTGCCCTGGGGCCTGGTGAGGCCACACAGGACAGCGACCCGAAGATATCGAGAAGGGCCAAGGAGGGAAGAGCTCAGATGCTCTATAAAGCTTGAGAAAAGTCCCACCTCTCAGGGTTGGCTTGACCAATAAGAAAGGTGGAATTTCCAAGCGGGAAAATTCCTCTGTTGGGAGGTTTCATGACTCTGTCTCAAGTGTGTGTCCCTTTATACTCAGATTAATTTAACAAACACACACTGCATTCTAAAAAGAGGTGATGTACACTAAAGTGTGAGTCGCAGAGCTTGATCCACCACGAACATCATCGGCCAGTACCATCCCGGCCACTGGATCAATCTCGGGGTGGACGAGACTGGTATCTAGTGAGGTAGATCCTCCACTGATGTCTGCGTGAGCGGTCAGTATCTCAACCCTGGTGGTCCCAGTGCCCTCAAGCCCGGCGGTCCCAGCAAACAGTGGTGTAGTCTAGTTTTTTGTAGTAAGTAAACTGTGACTTGAACTATAATAACGATTGCTCGTTCAGTACCATTTATTTGCTATCATCTCTGTGCTCTCTGTGCCGAGTCTGACCACCAAAACTTTAAGATTAAACAAGACGGTTCATTCATATTATTATAAAAATGGGAGAAAGTGTAAAGTGCGGATTGGCGGAATAAGTCCCGCCTTTTAAGTAAAAGAGCCAATCGTTAATTGGTAAAGTCATTGTGTCACTGCAGAAGCTCTGGTTGCCATAAAAATGTTGAGACTGCACATTTGCCTTAGCTGCCTGAAGCAACCTGAAGAGCATTTTAGCGCAATTTGTGTTTTTTTAACCTTATTTCCCGGCTCACACTTTTCTTATCCTAATTGTACAAGTTGCAAGTTACAAAAAACACACAAGCAGTGCTGACTGACTCTGATCACGGCTGGGTGTTCTCCGAGTCTGATCAACTCAGGTATTAGACACAATGTAAAACAGGAGAGGGTGTGGGACAGCACCCATGTCTGGCTTCAGCGAGCCATCAGGAGACAGAAGATCCAGGCTGAGTGCTGGAGGCGTGCCCACTCTAATTACTACCTGGCCAGATTGTATGACTTTTTACGAGGGATCTATGTCTGAGGCTACCTAGCAGGAAGCTCAGTCCAAAGTACGTAGGTCCATTCAAGATACTAAGACAAATCAAACTGGTTACCTATAGACTACAGCTTCCTGCTGATGATTGTATCTTTCCTTCCTTCCATGTATCCCTCCTGAAACCTTGCACACCCAGCACCGGAACCGGTAACCACTGAATCAACGCCACCTCCTCCACTGGAGATTGATGGATCCCCTGCTTATCTCATCTGGAAGATCCTAAATTCCAGAAGGAGGGCTAATCAGTTACATAACCTTGTGGACTGGGAGGGATACAGCTCTGAGGACAGGTCCAATTCTACCTACACAGATAAATCCAGACCTATGCGGTATGCGCACAATCACCAGATTACAGAACGACACTTTTCAGTTTATTCCACAAACCGACTAACGCTAATTGAACATGTTCAGTCATGTTCAATTAGCTAGTAAATTTAGAAGTTGCAGAATGTAGATGTTAGCACTGGTCGAGGATGCAAGTTTTGCACTGTGTGTGTGTTCGTTCAGCATTCAAGACTGGTCTATTTATGCATTTTTAATGTGCGATAGTGTGGATCTCTGTTTCATACGCATGTGCAAGGTTAATATGCATTATTAATGTGTGTCCATGCCAGACAAAGATTGTGTTACCCTATATACACATGTGGGAACACGTCTACACTTGAAATATTAATGCCATTTCTTTAACTGTTACAACCAGATAATCTTCTTGAGTGGAAAAAATAAAGTAAACAATGAAGAAAGCGAGACATTCAAACAACTAACACTCATGCTGTAACTGCAATACACATATTAAAGTGAATGTAGAACATGAGCCCATTTACTGACAAATACAGGATTATAGGAATTTTAAAAAAAGAAGAAGAATCAGTAACTAAATGGTCTTTTGAAACATAGAGTTACCCATTACATAATCAATTGATTGCATCTTTATTGTGTAAATGGCCCTAGGTTGCCTTGGCCATGACAAGGATACTCATGAGGAATACCATGATGAAAAACACCCACATGAAGAACCTGTCCATCACCTTGGCAACCTTCTTCCACTCTGCCCCTTTTGCCTGGTGTGCCCTCTGCTCTCTGAAACAGTTAGCTATGTAGTCAATGTTTTGCACCACTTTCTGATGTTGGCCACAGATGCATACACCTCCTGTGCCAGTGGGGGTCTTACTGTATCTATCTGCTCCAAACGTTTTGCTGTAGCCATTATCATGGAGATAGCCAACTCCATTGAGATAGCCATTGCCATGATCGTAGGTGTATCCACTAAGTTTTTCTGGAATTGAGATTTCGCTATCTTTTAGTTTTTCCTGACTTGTCAGTGGGAGCTTATCGCTTCCATCTCGACCAATGTAATGTGTGTATTTTGGATGATGGGCACTCTGTCGGATAGGGGAATTTGAAGATGAGCGGGTCCTCCTTTGATGCCCATGTTGCCGATAGTCACTTTTGTTGTGATGGTACCCATTCCCATGCCGGTGGTCTCTGTGATTGTACCCATTAAACTGACCGTGGTTTCTTTCATCATGCTGACAGTCTCCATAAAACCCTTTGTCAAAATAGCCATCTCTCTCCAGGCTAGCCAGCGGGTCTTCAGAGAACAATGGGCCTCTGTCGCTTTCAGGTGTGGTGCAGTTTTCCCCTACCTCATACACAAAGAATATCTTTGACATGTAGTCTATTATCAGGACTTTAGCCCAGTGGGGCACAGGTTTTGCTTCCGCTCCACAGAAGTGTATATTCATGATGAAGATAGTCAATGATGTGGAGGCCGTTATCATGGTCATTGTTGCGATGTAGTATTTTCCTATAAGAAAGACACAAACAAGGGATAAATAACAAAAACACGAGATTAACACAATAAATGTTTGGGGTTGACAACTGTATGTACTATCAGGTGTGACCTAATTGAAAACTATAGTTAGTGTAGCAAACCCATGGTTAATTTGTGGTTAAAAAATGCTGGGTTCAGCCTGCTGGGTCATTTTATTGGGTTATTTTTTATATTTTTAGTAGTTTTTTCTGTAGCTCAGCTGCTGGGTCATTTTTACTGTCAATAACCCCCTCACATACCTACCCAACGCTGGGTCAATGGGTCAAAGGGGAAACTTCCTGAATGAAATTAAGGTTGTATTACATTGTATTCCGATGAAATTATTACAGTACAATGAGGAAAATGTCTGTAGTCTCATATTTTAAATTTTTTGTTTACATGTACGTCGCAGCTAACGTCTTCTGGGAAAGCTAGCAGAACGACTCACTGACGCCACCATGGAAGTTTCACCTCCCGCCAATCGAATGTGCGACCAGGGCTGAAACACGACAAAGTTACCGTGAGCTCCACTGACAAGAGCGCTGTTGATCTAGTGCGCTAGCGTCACAGTTGTGGTCGCAGTATGCGTTTGACTGGTTTAAACTTAAAGCTACAATATGTAAGAGTTTTGTAATAAAATATCCAAAAATCACTTGCACAGTGTGATATATTTCCTGCAGTTGTGTACTTACAATATCCCAAAAGTTCCCAAAGATTTTTAATTTTCAGAGAAATTCCAATTTTAAATAATGGTCCCTGTTCACTTGTCGCCTGTCAATGACGTAATATCTGCGTTATCCCTGGTTTCCGCTCGTACTGCCATAGTAACCATGGCGACAGACGTGGACAACTGCGTTACGTCTAGCAGCACGCTCACGCTGTGGTTGTTTCATGGCATGGCAAGCAGACTTTGGGACAAAAGGAGAACTAAAACGAGAATCAAATTCAGCGTGGCGTTTTCGAGATGCCGAGAGCTCCACGTCCGTGACAAACTTCGACTTGACAGAGACGTCACGTCACTCTTGCATGTACTTTATTAGACTTGTGAGCAAATGTACATAAAACTAATCAATGTTATAAAGCTCAACATGATGAAAAGTTAGAATTTGATTAGTATGTTATTCTAATGTTGATCTATCTAGCTTACTGCTAGTCTCATACAGACAAACTAACACATAGAATAACATTATAACTTTCAACACACTCAAATGCAGTTTATGATAGTGTAACGTTAGACCAAGTGAAACAGCGCTGCGTTACCTCACAAGTTTAATTCGTCAAATAAACTGACCTGTGTGAGTAGTAATCCAGCACTTGCGGGTAGTTCGGTAGAATGAAATGTCCTTATTCCTTTATATCCGCGGGACTCGCGTGTGGCGCTGATATATGTCTCTCATTAGCAATCGCGCCCTGCTTCATACCACAGCCATGATAAAAACATCAATGTATTAACTCATCCATAAACATTATTAGAACCATCAGCATGACGACAAGTTCCACAATTCCGCTTATGCGTCATCAACCTACTCCTTTGTTATTGTAAGAGGTTACCCTAGCGGCGAAAAAAATTACATATTGTAGCTTTAAATGTCTGACAGGCGAGATGGCACAAGGTAAAGCTGTTTTTTATGTAACTTTTCAAAAATAAATATATAAGATTGTCATTTAATAAACTGGAACAGCCTGATACCAGTTTTCTTCCCACAGATTCCCACTGGCTGCTCTCGCTGCTCCTGGGTCCTGTCGCGTCCTAAAACGTTTACTAAATGTTTTTGAGTATTTTATGATTGTAAAAAGACTGACTTGCCATTGAATAAAAAATATTGGATATGAACTGTTCCTGTACTATCTATAACAGAGATTTTAGAGTGCATTTTTATTAATTAAAATGGAAAAACCTTCAATATCAAATTGACTGACCCAGCACTGTCGAAAAACAACCCATCAAATGGGTTAATGTATAAAACCCAACAAGCTGGTAAAAATAACCTAGCATGTGTTCTGTCCAATATTTACCCAACCCAGCATTTTTTAGGGTGTATAATAACCATGGGTTTTTTTGTGGGGGGATGGGGGGGGTTGTAGTAAAACCATGGTTAATTTCTGTAAGGGATTGCTTGTCCCTACATGAATATATTGGTATATTTCAATAAAAATGATAAAATATCTTTTCATCTTTGTCTTTATTTAGTGATACGTGTCACTGAGATTTACTCTTTTTTTAAATTCCTGAATGCATTTGGCAACAATGGTTGTTTGTTTAGTGTATGATTTTTCTGACAGAAAAAAATGCTATATTGTCAAAATATATAGGCCTACATTGCATTTTTTTTTCCACTGGCTATGTCACACAGCCATAACCAGAAATTATTAATTTCCCATTTGAACTTGTGTGACAATGTAGATGTAATGTATTCAAATTCATAAAAAGCAGTCAGAAATAATTCACTGATAGTTAACTGTTACTGCCACTAGGGGGTCAATTGAGTCAAAAGGAAGGTCTGTAACCACAGTGACAGTGACAAAAAGCATATGGTTGTCACACTCATTTATAACCAAATTGTATCAACAGAACCACATTTAACACTGTAACCGGAGCGACAACCATATTCTGTAGCCAGAGAGAATTGGAAAGAAAGAAAAAGAGAGCTTGTTCAAATATTTTCAAAAGCTTGTCAAATATTATGCTCCACTGTAAACTCACCAATTAGTGGAACACTTTCTGAAGGTGGCATACTCTCTGCTACCATCAACTGAAATACAGTCAGAGCCAGCAGCACCGTAACCCCCAGTGAGACCTTCTCCCCAGAATCAGCAGGCAGGTAGAAGCCCAGCGGAGCCAGGAATGAGATGAGGAAACACGGCAGAAGCAAGTTGAAGATGTAAAAGGATGATCGCCGCTTGAGGAGGACTGTGTAAGTAATGTCAGGGTAAGGGTCTGAGCAGCAGCCATACATAATGACGTTCTTAACAGCTGGCATGCCATGACACTCCCATTCCACGTTTTCCACAAAGTCTGAAAGGTCACCACTCTCCATGCCCATAGTGATGTCCACCTGGGGTTAAGTGATAGGAGAGTAAGTAAGTAAAGTAAGTTCTAACGTAATTTTAGGCATTTTTATTTATTTATTTGTTATATTTGGCTATTTTAAAAATATAGAAATGTTTACTCCTTCAAATGTTAGATTTGTATGTTTGTTTTTAAGAGCAGCAGAAATGAGTTTACAGTGCATGAAGACGACACATGTCAAGCCACCATGTATTTTCTATAACTTTTAATATTATTTAATAACATACTTTTTATGTGTTCATAATCATATATATTCTGATGTCACTTCATAATTTGGGATGCTGAGGATGTACAGACTAAGATTTAGCATTTACAGCTATATATTCACAGTATAGAGCTTTACCATTACATTGATCTAATCCTTTTGTTACTAACCACTAAACATTTACTGTGTAAATAAGCAAAAACCCAAATGTGTTAAAAATATCCTTGCTCTACAGTTAGTGAGTTAGTGGATTACATATTGTTACATATGTTCAGATACAAAAAGCTTTTAAGTAACTTATTAGAATAGCTCAATACAAGAATGCATGTCTACTATTGTATTTGCTATGAGTGTACATCAAGTACATATTACCTGGTTGCCATTGTAGGTCCAGGAGCCAAAGGTAAGGTTGCACTCTTGACTATCAAAGGGGAAATAAGAGACGTCCACTTTACAGGAACTCTTAGTAATGGCAGGGGAGTCCCAAGTGATCTCACCATTATACCTCAACACCACATTAGTGCCTGGGGGTCCAGAGGAGTCCTCCTCATCTGCACTGAGTAAAAAAGAGATATAGAGGTTAATAATTCAGTGTAACCGACAATCAAAACTGGTAATACATGTACCGAAGGTGTTTTACTTGTTATACAGAACGATGTCTGGTCTCCAAACAAGATCGCTGGGTATTCGAATGACCTCAAGTCCATCATACTCATCTTTATCCCAGCTCAGGTACGCATCATGCCAGATCTGACGCACCCACAAGTAGGTGGTCAACACCTGGTTCCTTTCATCCTAGCACAAAGAGTCAAGCACAAAGCAACTTTAATTTACAAACCTTCTGTAGCCAAATCTATAATTTTGGGCCCTATTTTACACAAGTGCACTTAGGGCGTGACATGTCCTTATCCACTTTTGCTAGTGGTCGGTGCCATGGGCAAAGTCTAAAAGGGTTGTCCCTTTCTCTTAATGAGTAATGGGTGTGTTTTGGGCTTTGTGTGCAATAAACCAGAGTCTCATCTCCCATTCCCTTTAAATGCCAGTTGCGTTCACGCCTTGGCGGATTCCTATTTACATGACGGAATTTGAAAGTGGAAAGACCAAATGCGTCTCCAGAGTACAAACGGATCTGCTCGTGCACGAGGTTAAAGGCCGCGAGCAGACCATCTACGGGGCAAGCCAGATTCCTCCATATCTTTATGTACACAATAATAATCTTTTACATTGTAATCCTTTAATTTTTAATATTTGGCATATTTGTGTGCTGCTGCGCGTCCCTGTGTGTTTAATAAACAGACAGAGACGCGCGTTGAGACCCCGCCTATAGGCGCACATTAGTAACGCGCTCTTTAAATAAAAAAAATATATTGCACCATTGACTTTAGTTTCAGTTGGTCAATGGCGCAGTCTGTTTCAGTTGCCGCGCCAACAATGCACCTGAACCTTGTTTTCAGACCAGCGCACAGATGGGCGCAATGCATTTGCTATTTAAACAACGTGGCGCATGACGTGAAAATGTTCTGCGTCAGGCTGACAAACAAAAACCACTCGTGTTTTGCGAGCGTTACTTTCATCTGAAATATCCTTCAAATATCTTCTATTGTGTTCCGTAGGAGAAAGAAAGTCATATGAGGTCCTTTGTCAATAAAAATGATTAAAATATTTAAGATGTCTAACAACAGTTTGCACACATATAAAGGGACAGTTTCCAGATATTGCATTCTTTATCAGACATCTGTGCTTACTGTAAACACGTTCAGTGATGTGATAAGGTAAGAAAAAAAAAAAAAAGATTTCAGCTAAAAGTATAGGTTACATTATTTGTTAGTCCCACGTATTCAGTCACACAGGGTCTTGATCTGCAAGATAAAACCCTGTTGTTCTACATGGAACACTTTCTCACAACAATGAAGAATGAAAGGGAAGAAAGTCTGAACCCTTAGGTTGCACTTAATGCCATATCACATCTCGTTGGTTAAAAGTACTCCTCAGGTTCAGTAAATTAATATTTGATTGAGCTTGATCAGGGCGGAAATTCAGTGCCTCTTAAAGGAGAAATTCATTGTCTCTTTCTGGAACACGAATAAACAATGACCACCAGTGCCTTATATAACCATCATCTGAGAGAGCACACAAACACTAAACTTAAAATCATAAAATTGGATTTCATCAGTTAGTGACAGTTCCCTTAAAATAACATTTCTGTCATAATCTACCCTCATGTTGTTTGCAAAACTTTATGCAATCCTTTCTTCCATGGAACACAGAAATAAATAAAAAATATTTATAAAAACAGATTATTTATCTGTACAAAGAGTCACTGTGTCCAACGTATGACCTCCAATATTCTTAAATAAGTAGGCCTATCTTCTGTTCCACAGAAGGAAGAAAGAAATACATACATGTTTGGAATGGCATGCGAGTGAGTATGAAAGATTTTTCATTTTTGGGTGAACATTTAACAGACCAACAGGTTTTTTAAATAAACCGTTTTTAAAGACTACAATGATTAACATTTAAAAAATCATATAGATTTGATATAATTTTTTGTCAAATTATGTTTAAATAAGTGAAAATACAAAATAATAGTATTACCCTGGTAAAGTAGCCTATTGCATCAACTGCAAAGAATCTAAACCACAATGAAAGTCTTACAATCTTTAGTTTAAAGGGATGGTAATGCCCTTTTCACAAGATGTAAGAGTGAGTATGTGAAGGTTTAGCTCAAAATACCCCACAGATATTTAAAATAGCATGTTAAAATTGTCACTTTTTGAGGGTGAGCAAAAACACATCCTTTTGTGTCTGTCCCTTTAAATGTAAATGACCTGCTGCTTCCGCACAGAGGGCGGAGCGTCAAGAGCTCGTGTCCTTTTACCTCACACATTTCAAAAACTTTTAGCTTCTTATGTTCAAACCGGAGTCAGACAATGATGGAGAGACTCAAGAAGACGTGACAACATGTAGAATGCAACAGGACATTTCTAAATGGTTAGTTGATGAATTTATATAGCTATGTTATGTGTAGTTATCCTCTAACCTTAGTCATTGATTAGCATATTCTGTCTTGATAATCTATGGCCGTTTCTCAATACCAAGTACGCAAACTTCGGACTTGCGTCCTTGGTAGTTCGGACTTGCCAAATTCGACTCAGGAGAACGAACTCCCGAGGACGAGAGGACGCGAGTCCAGTTATTCTGCAAATGGAACAGTCCGTTCTTGATCGCGTCACTCAGCGCGCTCTGGCTACTCCGGTTATCTCTTTATGTATATTTTAGGCAACAATAAAACGAAATTTGCGACAACTCTGCCTCTTTTCGTCAACAATAAAACGAAATATGTTATAAAACACCACTCTGCCTCTTTTCATTTAAAAATCTTAAACATAGTAGCCTAATGGCCATGTGGTTCAGGCAACGCGTACATCTTCACTGCATTTATTTATTTATAACAACATGAACATGATCTTTTTGTTTTCATTTTAAAAATAGGAAACATTATTGATTTTTATTGACATTTAAAAAACAGAGACAGGGTACGTTGTGTCATTTTATTTTATTGTACATATAGTGAAGAGAATGTTATATATATATATATATATATATATATATATATATATATATATATATATATATATGTATTAAAGTATATAAAATAAAATTACACAACCCTGTCTCTTTTTGTTAAATGTCAGTTTTAATGATCAATAATATCTACAATGATAAATAAGGCAAACAATTCAAACATAAGTAAGCTCTCTAATAGGCTACAAAGTTAAAGAGCATATTGCAGGTAAAAAAAAAATCTAAATTAATATATAACCTTGTATGAAAATACCATATGAAAAGGTAATGCAGGATTTAAAATGTTTTAAAACGACATAAGGGCACTAATTTAGTAGATAAAGTGAGCGTTTCTTGGACTGCTCGTAAAAACGGCTTTTTTTTCAACATCGCGTCATTTTACGTCACGCTAGGGAGCCTCAGCCTCGCCTCAGTGCAGAGCAGGCTGGCATTCAGTGAGAGCGGCTGTGAGTCAGTGTGTTTTCGGTAGTTTTTGTATTTCAATCTATCATCGTCATGGTAAATTATTGTGTTTGTGGAGGTTGCAAAAACTCCGGCCTGTCAGGACATCGAGTCCACAGGTTTCCATAACAAGAAAAAGGACGGTGCTGTATATCTTTCGTGCCTGGTGCGGTGTGTGCAGGTGAAGAGACGGGATTTCTCTTCCGCATCGGCTTCGAGAACCGCTGTCGTGTGTAGCGTTCACTTCAGATCGTGTGTAGCGTTCACTTCAGATCGGAGGATTATCATCCCGGCGATATGATGGAGTTTAACATGGGATGCCGAAGCAAGAATATTGATCGTCGTATACTGTACCAATGGCATCAAATAGTGTGATATACAGTGGTGTGAAAAAGTGTTTGCCCCCTTCCTCATTTCCTGTTCCTTTGCATGTTTGTCACACTTAAGTGTTTCGGAACATCAAACCAATTTAAACAATAGTCAAGGACAACACAAGTAAACACAAAATGCAATTTGTAAATGAAGGTGTTTATTATTAAAGGTGAAAAAAAAATCCAAACCATCATGGCCCTGTGTGAAAAAGTGATTGCCCCCCTTGTTAAAACATACTATAACTGTGGTTGTCCACACCTGAGTTCAATTTCTCTAGCCACACCCAGGCCTGATTATTGCCACACCTGTTCACAATCAAGGCATCACTTAAATAGGAGCTGCTTGACACAGTAAGGTCCACCAGAAGATCCTTAAAAGCTACACATGCCGAGACACAAAGAAATTCAGGAACAATTGAGAAAGAAAGTAATTGAGATCTATCAGTCTGGAAAGGGTTATAAAGCCATTTCCAAAGCTTTGGGAATCCAGCGAACCACAGTGAGAGCCATTATCCACAAATGGCGAAGACATGGAACAGTGGTGAACCTTCCCAGGAGTGGCCGGCCGCCCAAAATTACCCCAAGAGCGCAGCGACGACTCATCCAAGAAGTCACAAAAGACCCCACAACAACGTCTAAAGAACTGCAGGCCTCACTTGCCTCAGTTAAGGTCAGCGTTCATGCCTCCACCATCAGGAAAAGACTGGGCAAAAATGGCCTGCATGGCAGAGTTCCAAGTAGAAAACCACTGCTGAGCAAAAAGAACATCAAAGCTCGTCTCAATTTCTCCACAACACATCTTGATGATCCCCAAGACTTTTGGGACAACATTCTGTGGACCGATGAGACAAAAGTGGAACTCTTTGGAAGGTGTGTGTCCAAGTATATCTGGCGTAGAAGGAACACTGCATTTCATAAAAAGAACATTATACCAACAGTAAAATATGGTGGTGGTGGTAGTGTGATGGTCTGGGGCTGTTTTGCTGCTTCAGGACCTGGAAGACTTGCCGTGATAAAAGGAACTATGAGTTCTGCTGTCTACCAAGAGATCCTGAAGGAGAATGTCCGACCATCTGTTCGTGTACTCAAGCTGAAACGAACTTGGGTTCTGCAGCAGGACAATGATCCTAAACACACCAGCAAGTCCACCACCGAATGGCTGAAGAAAAACAAAATGAAGACTTTGGAGTGGCCTAGCCAAAGTCCTGACCTGAATCCTATTGAGATGTTGTGGTATGACCTTAAAAAGGCCGTTCATGCTCGAAAACCCTCTAATGTAACTGAATTAGGAGAATTCTGCAAAGATGAGTGGGCCAAAATTCCTCCAGGACGCTGTAAAAGCCTCATTGCACGTTATCGCAAACGCTTGGTTGCAGTTGTTGCTGCTAAGGGTGGCCC